AGATCAATCCCACAGTCCATTTCCATACTTCACTTTTCATTCCTTTAAAGTTCAATATTAGAACGATTTTTCAACTTAAATACCCCCATTATAACTTATCTTTTCTTCTTTCTCTTTGTATACAAAATCTCTTCCAATACTAACCGAAAAACCTCATATTTCAAAAATCACACAGTGAAAGCTTCTTAGTCAACAAATTAGCTGTTATTATGTAGTATCTGACAAAAAATTACTCACTCAGTCTCATAAAGGTGGACTTGATGTTCTTTGTCATCTGTCCCCGAATCATAGCCCACTTTCCTTATTGAATGTGTGTATATATATACTTTTCAAATATGACTATATTTAATGTAAAATATTATTAGTGAATGTAAACTAATTCTATTTAAACAATTATTTAATAAAGGGGTATATAAGAAAAATGTAAGAAAAATTTATATTTCCGACTACATTTATTCAAATTTCTTAATTTATGTGAAAAATAAAAACATGTCTATCTTCATGGGACGGAGGTAATATATTAAAGTGACATGGATATATAGTGTATAATTGAATAAATTTAATAAGGTAATGTTTGATTCAATGTGGATGAAACAATATTTATTTAGAATTTAAAATTTTTAATAGTGAAATAGATATGTATAATGAAGATAACGACTTTCAATAAATTTTTTTTAAAAAGCCAACCTTATAGACTACTGAACCTAGGGATGGACATGATTGGGTTTGGTTCTCGTCGAACCAAAATTTTCAGGTATGTAGTAAGCGAAATAGTCGAGTCCAAATTTAATTATGGAACTGTTCAGATTCGGTTCTATTCGTCTCTCAGGTTCCGTATTATAATTAAAGTATTTAATATTTACAAGTTGCATTAGTTCAGCTAATGATATGTTAAATATTAGTTTTTACAAAATAACGTAATTCAATCTTATGTGTCTTTTACTTCTTTCTTTTTTGAGTTCTTCATAGATTTGATTGTTAAAATCTCAGGAAGAGGAAGATAGCGAACTCAAAATAATTAAAAGAGGCGTTGTCGAACTTTAATTCGATTTCTTCGGAATGGAAGAAACGAGATTATGTTAGAGTATTAGATTTGGATAAAACCTAAGTTAATTTGATTAAATTGACTTTGAATTGAAAATTAAAAATAGGAAAAATCATATATATATATATATATATTTTTTTTTTTTTCGATTTTGAACTAAATTAACTAGTTAAAAAATTTATTTAGAAAAAATAAAATAATTTTGCTTATTTAAAATAAGTTAGTTAAAAAAATTAGAGAAATTTTGTTCTTATTCGATTCTTCAAGTCTTGATTTAGAATCGAGACTCGAATCTAATTCGTTGATTCTGAATTTAGATATTCGTACGAATATTTAATTTAAAAAGAACCTTTTGATTCTCGATTCGAGATTTTTGTCTGGCCGTAAATGAACCCTTAGTTAAATTGTCGTGGACTACTCTCTCACTCTCTCTTACACGCACGCACACACGTATCTCTATCTATATATTGGAAAAGTTCAGGTCTGAAAAGTTCAGGTTCAGAAATAGAAGCAAATTTAAAGTGAAATAGAGCCAACTTTTATAGACCCCTCGGTAAATAGTTGTGGGCTACTCTCTCTCTCTCTCTCCCTCTTTTTCACGTACACACGTATCTCTATCTGTGTATATATTGGAAGAGGTTAGGCTCAGGAATAAACCAACCAGGCCAACTCAATTTTCTCTATCGCAAGAGCTTCAACTTCAATATGGAGCCAAGAAAAATCTTCGAGCACATCGTCCTCTTCAAAATCAAGTCCGATGCCCCAACTTCTGCAGTCGATGCGATGGTCAGCAATCTCAACGGCATGAATTCACTTGACCCAGTACTCTACCTATCCGCCAGTCCACTCGTCCGCTTCCGATCATTATCCTCTCTCACCTTCACCCACATGCTCCATGCCCGCTACGCGTCCGAGCCCGACTTGATGTCCTATGAGGACCACCCGGTCCACCTCAGTGTTATTGACAATTACGTAACGCCTGCAGTTGAAGACAAAATGGGAGTTGATTGGGTCTCTGACTTAACGGGTTCGATCACAGTTCCGCCTGGGTCCGCCATTCGGGCTACCCTTTTGAAGCTCAAGGAGGGTTTGGGAGAAAGTGTGAAAAACAAGGTTTTGGGGGTTTTGGAAGGGATTAGACATGAATTTCCTTCAATTCAGCAGTATACTCTTGGGGAAAATTTCACCCTGGAAAGGGGGAGGGGTTTTTCAATTTGTTCGCTAGCAGTTTTCAAGGGAATCAATGAATTGGAGGCCGCGAATTGGGAGTCGGAGATGGTGAAGGTGAAGGAGTTTCTCGATGACGAGATGGTGTTGGATTGTGTGGTGCCGCTGTTGGCTTAATCTGTTTCACTTGCTTCTCTGGTTGTTGGTCTAATTGCATACTATCGGATCTCTTTGTAATCCTTTAATGATAGATCTGTTTGTATCCTGTTCTGGCAGATCTTTATAAAAATAAAGATATATTAATGTATTTAACGGATAATAAGCGAAAGCATAATGGATGACACGTGCAGCGTTTAAATATTAAAATATTTTGTTATTTTCGTAGTTGATTTTGTACATACGCGAGGGTTTTATATCATGAATCCTTTCATATCAATGTGTTGGGAATTTGAGGTAAATGTTTGGGGGATTCGAATTGCTTTTGGTGTTATTGTCATTTGTTAGGTCCTTCCTCACTGGATTATGTTTGAAATAGCTACCTACTTCGAGAGAGGGCGGTACGAAAAGAATTGAGTGATTCACCTAACACTTCAAAGCCTTACGCGCAATAGAATATGAGAAATTTCGTCGACAAGACTCGAGGATAGCTGACGGTACTCCACACTTGAATTTGCCTTTGCAAAGGGTTGAAACATTTTTTCGCTTTGATTTTGCATATATGCATGAAGCTAAGGTTCCAACGTTAAGTTATCTTGAAGAATAATATACGTAGCTGTAAAAATAACTAGGCCAATGTTTTGACAATTCATCTTGGATCTATAAACATGATCAAATAGATGTTTTAAAAAAAATTGAGCTGATGATCAGGACCCTTAAAATTAGCAAAATTTGTCTTCTCGTTTTATTTTCCCTTGATTGATTTTTGGTTGAAACATCTAACAAACGTTTGAATAAAAAAGAAAATACTAAAACACTGAAAATAAAATAATTTATATTTTCCATCACATTGTCCTTATTAAATAATCAATATTGTCTTTTAGATTAGAAAAACAATTGGAGATATCCAAGTAAGTTACCGGACCTTACAATTTGATTGTTGTTTTATTGACCTTTATCATAGTAACATCTTCAAATTCAAATAAAGAAACAAAAAATCAGCCTTGAAGAGTGAACTTTAATTAATAATGCTGAAAAAAAAAAGAACTGATATGGCATCCCATGAGTGAGTGCTTTTATGATTTTTTCTGTTATCTAATGTTAAACTATCAAGTGTAATTTGAAAATACTTTTCTATCATTTACTTGACCATGTAGCATAATTGGAATTTAATAGCATGGTCCCCACTCCAACCTATTTCTGTTGCTTGTGAATGCAAAAAGACAATACAGATTACACAACACAAAGACCCACAATGCCATGCAGAGAGGTTCTTCTGCACACGTGGTTTCTTCCCTTCCCTTCACATGCACAAATGTCACTTGCACTTGTCAAATTTGAATTCCAGTAACAAAACTGTAAGACTCCTCGTTTCTCCCATTCCTCTTACCTTCCTCTCTCTGTATTCTGTATATATCTCTCTCTGCACTCTTAAAATTTCAGAGCTTTCAGTGCAGGCATTTGCCTGCACTGGACCTAAGGTGGCTCCACCCCTGTATAGATGGATCGATAGGAAACAGTTTTTAAAGGCACAAACAATTTCAAAACTGTAAGACTCCTCGTTTCTCCCATTCCTCTTACCTTCCTCTCTCTGTATTCTGTATATATCTCTCTCTGCACTCTTAAAATTTCAGAGCTTTCAGTGCAGGCATTTGCCTGCACTGGACCTAAGGTGGCTCCACCCCTGTATAGATGGATCGATAGGAAACAGTTTTTAAAGGCACAAACAATTTCAACAACAAACTAACACTACAATAAAAGTAGCTTTTTAAGGTATTCATTTTCGACGTGCATTATGGCATGCTGTAAAAAGAGACCATTTATGGCATGCGATAAATGTATGTTGTAAATGATCAATTAATTAAAGTATTTACAGTGTACATTCTTTGCACATCGTAAAAGCTGAATATTTATGGAATACTTTTAAGGCATGTTGTGTTTTTTTCAAAAAAATTAGACTTGTTAGAGCATGCCATAAATTAATATAAATATTTATGGCATACATTTTTTCACGCCCTAAAAGATGCAAGATAAAATAATTGGGATTTTTTTTTTCTTTCTATGCGCCACCATTTTTATCATTTTCCTTATTTTTTTCCCTTTTTCTTGTTTTTCTTCTCCCACATTTTTTCTTTTATTTTCCTTTCATTTCCTAGAGTCTGTTGGATTGTAAAGATGAAATTTGGGTGGAAAGAAAATAAATATCAGGAAATTGAATTGTCAAGAAATTATTTTTCTGAAAATTGTAAATTATTATGTTTCATTGGTAAAATTTTTCACGTAAAAAATGTTGAAATAAAAATATTTTTTGATCTTCATTTGTTTTTATTTTATATGAAAATTGTCAATTAAAGAGATAGATTTTACTGGTATTGAGAGTGAAATTTGTTTCCATTGCAAAAATAAATAATTCAAAAAAATCATTTATCTTTTGATTTTATTTTACATGAAAATTGCCAACTAAAGAGAAATATTTTTTAAATAATTCTTAGAATTTATTTCCATTACCAACAAAAAAAAAAAATAATAATAAATAAACAAAAAAAATTGCTACAGTGTTTACTGGAAAAATGAATTCTCACCATTTCATTTTCCTCCAAAATATGAAAAATGTGCGTAAGAACGTGGAAAATAAATTCCAAAACATTTTTTGTCAATTAAACACCGAAAAGATGGAATTGCAATTCCATTTTCGAATTTCCTACCTATCAACCAAGTTAGATTTTTTCCCCACGTTCAGTTTCTTCTTCTTCCTGCTCTGTCCACCATACGGCTGTTCTCTCCCAAATCACCACCCTTCAATCAGCCATCAACTGCTCAATTACCACCCTTCAATCAGCCCATAAACCTAACGACCGAAGTGAGCACAGGGATAGCTTTTAGGTATCGTTTATTGACTTTTGTTTGTTGGGTTGCTATCAATTTGCAGGGAAATAATGTGAAATGTAAATTGGGTTATTGGATTGTTAAAATTTCGATTATTGGGTTGCTATCAATTTGTTTACTGGGTTGTAGGGGAATATCATAGATCAAAAGAAACTCAACAATTTTCAGTAAAACTAGGGTTCAAATTCGATTGAAATTTTATGGTTTCAAAATTATCATCATGTTTCGTTTCCGTAGCTTCTGATTGTGCTTTAACCAAATTATGAGACAGAAGTATCGATAGACTACTTTACCTTTTTCTTTTTCTTTTTTTGGCCTCTTTATTTTTGTGGGAACCGAGAGACCCAATGTGCACTGAAACATTTATCAAAATGTAAAGCAATTGCACTGAAAACAAAAACATTTTGTTTCACTGGTTTGGTCTGAATTCAAGTTTTCTACACAGTGAGCTTGTGTAAGATTGTTCTTGGCAGCCTGATTGATCATTTGCCTTGGTGGTGATAGCTCTTTAAACACTATGTTCAATTCTCTTTGTGGTGCTTTCCGTTTGATCTGAAGCCAAGAAATTATCATTGAGTGTTTCATAACATGTCTTCTCATGTGTAAATGAAATATCATACGGGTTGTGTAGTATGTTTCTCTTTGATCACTTTCGATATATATCATAGAGTGTAGCTCGCAATTTGTTTTCAAGGAAGTTTTATATTCAAATACTTTAATTCTGTTAATATCTTTTCAGTTAGCTGATGCAAAGGACAAAATCTCTTCAATCCTTCTGATTGCGGTTCTAGATGTCCTGTTTTGACACCGAATATTAAAGTAAGTTGCTTTCAAAGATAACAACATTTAAAGTACGGTATTGCAACTTCTTGAGGAGATTTTTGAAATCCTTTAGAACTGGCCTTATTCAACACAATGCCTTACAAATCTTAAAGCTAGTTTTTGCCAAAACATAAATTCTGTTTGGATCTATGAGGATAAGGAAGCATTTTTCTCCGACTTATTTTTCAGATCTACAATAAATACAATCACTGTCAAATGGAAATCAGACCTCAGCAGCCTATTGGCCAAAATATGGTGAGGATCTGCATGTTTGCTTTTATAGATGCCTCTAGTTTTAAATTTTACAATTTCCTTCTTTAATGGCAATACAAGAATGCTGCCTGTGAGGATGCATGTATGCTGCTCTGCTCCCTATGTTAATTTCAATTTGATTTTATATTTATTTTCAGGAATGCCAAAATTATATTTCAACAAGAAGATATCAAGTTTGTGCAGCCATCTTCTTCTTCTTCTTCTTCTTATCTAGGTAAGTGGGAGAGGATGGAGATGCTGCCAAACAACCCTCGTCGGCTATTCATTATGTGATCATCAGTTGGATAAAAGGAAGCTTAAAAGCACGACGAGCACTGTTCGCGTACTCTCTCCGAGTGCGAAGCAAGTAGAAGCTTTTGTTGCGTCCAAGAATGAAATCTTGAGCCCATCTTCAACTCGACAAATATCATCTATCTTGAGTTCCTTAGATGTGGACTCGAAATGATTAGAGAAAATTGATAACGATGATGAGAAGAAAGCAGTGATGTCTGCAAAGAAGATGACAAAAATTGGACCTCATGGTGAGAGCTAGATCAATAAGCAGCCTGCTTGGCCAGATTGATAGTACGGCAATTGAGTATTATTTCGTGCAGAAGAAAGTTGAATCGTTATGATATGTTGTTGCATTGAATTTGGAATGTATATATATGGCCACAGTATAACAGATGTATGTAGTATTGAACAAGTTGAATTGCGATATATTGTTGCTCTTTCATTCGTGCATTTAACTCTGGCTATAAAAAAGACTTGTTTATTGAAATAATGGAAAATATGATTAATATAATTGTGTTCTTTAATTACTATAGGTTTGCTTGTAATGTAGAAGTTCGAGAAATAAAATGAAATTAAGTTATTATTTTGTGATGATCTAGCACCACGAGCTTAGCTCATTTAAAAAACGAGCTATAGAAACTCAATCTATTTAAAATTATAAAAGCCCAAGACATAAGTTAATTAAAAGTCCAACAATTTAAGAGATTAAGTTAAAGTAAATTTGATTACAAAGATTTAATGAATAATTGAGTTGCTTCAGTGGTCATCTATATGGTATTTCATATAGGCAACTCAGGTTTGAATTACCATATAAATGTTTTTATAAAACTTTTTATATGAATTATTTTTTATGACTTAGAAACTATTCAAATTCTTAGTTAAAAATCAAATTTAAAAAATTTAATGATAATACAACACCCCCATTTAATTTTTCATTAAAAGAAATGTTACAGGAAGAGGAATGTCACTTTTTCACTACACCCCACCTCAAATCCGAATTTATTCATACTTTCTTTCAAAAAGTATATTTCATGTCAAGCTGAACTTAAGGGAATAACAATGGGGAGAAGAAGAAATGCTTTCTACACATTTTGTTCTTTTATATCTAAGAAAATTCAAGGTAAGTAGAGGTGCAAGTGTTTATTTCTTTTTCAAATTATGATTTTTCGATAAATGTTTGAATGAAATGGTACCTTTGAGTACAGTGTTTCGGCACTACAATAGTTTGAATGATCATTCCCGGCTCTACGTGTTATGATGATACTATAGTAATTGAATTTTGCCGAAAATCCATCTATGTGCAACGGTATAAATTTATAGTTCGAAATTTTTAATTTGGTAACGAAATGCACCGATAATATTTATTGAGTTTCAAACTCATAGGTTAATTCCCTTCTTACAAGTTGAATAGATTTCCTTAGAGAGTGGATGAGGGGGAGATGGATAAGCAACATGCCACGGAGAAACCGGTGATTTAATATCTTTAGTTTAGTTATGAAATGTTTACGTTTTCTTTAAATTATATTCCTATAGTTGTTGTGTGTGGATCTATTCTACGAACATTCTTTATGGATAAGTTATGTTTTAAAGTACATATGTGTTCTAGAAATTTATTTACCAATCACCGTTTACCAAAAATAAAAAATAAAAAATACAGTGTTAGCAAATTAAAGTATTGCCGTCTTTTTAAAAATTCAGTTTCTATCTTGATTTCAAAAATTTATAACTTACTCGTTACTTGAGATTTTTGGACGAAACCAATTGGATTTGATAGTCTCAAGGGTTAGCTATTGAATATAGTTGAAATCATGTCGATTCGATGTGTGTAGAATTTTATATGACACTTATAGTATGCTGCGCTAGGTTACTTTTCAACCCTAGTCGCTGCGGGGATTTGAAAAATATTTTAATACCCTATATGTTGCCGACGAAAGCCGATTTCTGAATACATCATATTATAAGGAGTTTTTCCTTTACGTTAAATTTTTGACGAAATTTCGAGGTCGATAGCTATGCAAACGAATTTATTTTGTCAATCTCCGTTTGAGATAAAAACTAAAACAACAACATTATTTTTAAAGTTTTGCCGAAAAGTTTCACGTCAATAGAAGTTATCTTTTAGTATTGAATTATTTTTTTTATAAAAAGGTATATATATAAAATTGAATTAAATTCTTAAATTAAATCTTTATACTTTCTGCTAAAAGAATAGTAAATTATTAAGTTTATGGTTAAAGTATAATTAATCTTGTGATATTTCAATCCATACGAGTTGGGGCATTACAGCATGGTATTAGAGCACGAGTTTAGTCGATTATATAGACTTAGTGTTTTTTATTTATGGAATGAGAAAAATAAAATATTTAAGGCACTCCATTGCATTTTGCGTCCATCAGTTGATCTCATCTGACGAACGTAAGGTATGAAATAAAATATTATGTTCCACTTTATTTTTCGAGCATGATTTATAAATCATTTAAACTTGAATCTATGAAAATGCTTTTGATGTTTAGAATGAAATATGTTATGTAAGTTATATTTTGTTTAAATATACATGAAAAAATGATGATTGACCATTATATTAAAACCTCAAGAGCATAATTTATAAGTTGATATTACTAACAGAGATAAAACATAATTGGACATTTATATGATAGACAAGGGTAGAACTTGCCAGATGGTTAGAAAGGCCACAGCTTGTAGAGCAGCATTGAACTGTAGGTTCATTATTCAATCCTATGAGAACTATGTGACTGACCCGTCTCGTCCACTTGTTGATCACGTACATGACATCTATGAGAGATGTATGATAGCTGTAGATGCGAGATTGGAGATCACGCATATCGAGGATGTGAATAACCTCATACATTCACTCCCACCTCAATCGGGAGACATGAGAGTCATGGTTAGGGATGAGATACTAAAAGGCAACCCTCCAAGGCATCCAAATACGATTGAATTTGGTATATATTGTCATATCCTTCTAGACAGGTGGAGTGAAAGCTTAGAACCTCAACCAGAGATAGTAATTGAGCCTGAGCCCGAGCCTCAATTTGAATCAGATCCAGAGGAAAATCTAGAACGCGGAGCATGAGGATGACTTTGGGTTGAAATTAGAGAATGATCATGAGCATGAACTTGAACCACAGGTTGAGAAGGACCTAGAGTCAGGGCCTGAGGTAAAAAACTTATGCGAAGATGAATCTCCACCAAAGAAGACTGGCAAGATTTATAGGGATTAGAAATTTAGATTCCATTTCCTTGTGATATGTTATCGAACAATTGTATATAATGACTTCAAGGTGTACAAAAAAAAAAAAAATTTGATCAAGTTGAGAAATAATTCATATATATATTTTTTTAACTCTGGTATTGGAAAACAAAGTTAATGTGAGATCTTATATCTTATCTTTAAGGAAATGTCTCGAGCAAACCAGAAAAATTTGATAAGGGATCTTCTACAAGCAATTCAAGATCTTGGCAGGTTGAATCAGAATCCAGCTCCACCTACACCACCAGCTCCTATTACTCTCCTGACTCATGTTTCGTGGTTGAGTTATTTCGAAGGTATAAGCCCCTTCCTTCGATGGAGCATCTGGTCCACTAGTAGTTGAAGAGTGACTTTGTAAGTTAGAGCGAATTTTTCGACTCATCGATTGCACTGATGCCCAAAAGGTCCAACGTGCTGAGTTTATATTCACCGGTGATGCAAGTCACTGTTGGGATTCGATGTCCCGAACTAGGACCCCTGAAGAGCAATTGGCGTTAACTTGGAAACAATTCAAGGTGGAAGTAATGAACAAGTATTTTTTTCAGTCTTTAAGGGATTTAAAGGAGAGCGAATTTCTTTAGCTTAAGCAGGGTAATATGTCCCTGACTGATTATGAGCAAAAATTCGACCAACTCTCAAGGTATGCTCTACACCTGGTTGACACGAAAATTAAGAAGACTTGAAGGTTTGAGCAAAGGTTAAAGCCAGACCTAAACATGATTCTTATATCATATTATTTCACATCATATCGTGAGATGTTGGAACGAGCTCATGCCATTTGGTATAAGAAGGCAAATGCAGAGCAACACCGTCAATTGTACAACTACAAGACAAAGTGCAAGTTGGAAAGAGAAAATGGAATGGTCAAGACAAAGGAAGAGGCAAATGGCAAAATAAGAAGGCTAATATCGGATCTAGTGCTAGTAAGGCCATAGTTGCTGCAGTAACGCCATGTCCTAAGTGTGGTAAGTCTCATCGTGGTGAATGCTTGTATGGAAAGAATGCCTATTTTTGATGACGTAAGTCAGGACATATTGCTAAGGATTGTCTTGTATTTGCTCAGAGGAAAGATGATAACAATCATCAGAACAAAAATGGGAAAGCACGAGTTTTTACAATGACTCAGAATGATGCAGAGGAGAACTCAAACGTGATAGCAGGTATATTACTAATATCTGATATACCCGCTTATGTACTGTTTGATTTAGGAGCTACTCACTCTTTTGTATCAACATTTTTCATTCCTAAATCTAGTATAAATTATGATAAATCAAAGAGTACACTAGAAGTTAGCATTCTCTCAGGCAGAACATTGAACACATATCAGTTCACTAGGTCGGTGAATCTTAAAATTGAGGGAAAAACATTTGAAGCTGACTTATATGTGATAGATGTGAAAGACTTTGATGTGATTTTGGACATGGATTGGTTAGGATATAATTATGCAACTATTCGCTGTAGAGAAAGGGAAGTATCTTTTCGAAAACCAGGAGAAAAACATTTTTCTTTCCCTGAAATAAAGACCAAACCTATCTCCAACTAGTATCAGCCTTACAAGTTGAGAAAATTTTGAGAAAAGAAACATCTCAAGGGTTTCTAGTTAACATCTCAAGAGAAAAAAAGGCAACGATAAAGATTGAGGACGTACCAGTGGTATAAAAATTTATAGATGTGTTTCTAGAAGATATACATGGTATTCCACTAGATAGACAAGTTGATACGAACCCTGTAGTAGCGTTGACTACGAAACCCACAACGAGATTGTTCCAAAACCCAGAAAAGCAAAATTAGAGGTTTAGAGAAACCCCAAATTAGTGAACCAACATACCCACCAAGATCATTGCTTGAAGGACCCCTTGATTATATAATCCAAGACTCATACCCGAGTTGTAGAATGCCACAAGAATCAAGATCCTTGATAAGTTCAATTGATCAATGTAGAATGAAGAAGAAAGCACAAAAGTCTCTCTACTAAAATTCTCTCAAGTTAATGTATAAAGTCTATGTGGTACAGTGAAAGAAAATAAGCTATATTTATACTAGACTCAAATCTCTAGAAAATTTAGTAAAATTCGTGCATAACTCTTCCAAGATTACAATAATATGGAAAGAATAAAAATCTAAACAAATAAGGAAAATCCTGAAAAAAGGAAAG